TTTGAAATTGTAAAAAAAAATTTGGTGATCCATTTAAAATAACAAAGTTGATATCGCTTCCGTTAAAACCGGAAAAGGAATTTTTTTCAAAATAATTTAGAAAAATAGTTTAAATGATATTATAATTGCTATAAAAATTTCAATTCGATATCTTTTGCCGTTCTTCATAAACGTCTAACCTACCATCGACCGTGATACACCCTGTATACATGTCATCTGGAATTATTCCAACATATCACAAAAGATTATCCGTTAATATTAATTTGAAATGACCCCAAAAATTATTCATTAACTTTGGGCAAAAGTTTTTAATTAATAAAAACAATACTAAAAGTAACTACATTTTACATGTTGAAACATTTTGCAAATTACTGATGCCTAACAACGTAAATAAGTTCATTATTCCCGTTCTCAGGCGGCGTCAGTATACAATAGAAGTAAAAAAAGAAATAAACAATTAGGGAATTTATTATTTTGACCACCCTCAGTAGGGACATGAATATCCTTCAATATATTTTCATAACAAGCAGCACAATACATCGGTTTTCAAACAGATCTCGTAGGTTTTTTTTTTCATGGCTGATTGCAGCTACTACAACTTTTCTCAATTTCATTACTTACCCCTTGGAGATATCCGTAGATGCGACACAAGATTTTGCCCCTGGCGAAAAAAATACGTGACGAAAATATTTTCAGTCTGCACTTTCAATAAAAAGGTTCAAGTGGGAAAAAATATTTGAATGCGTAAAGAGAAATCGGTTTAATCGTTAGATTTCTGGTGATGTGTGAAAATTCATATAATATTTAAATTTATGCTGTAATAATGGTTTTTATAAAAATATTACCATAACTCACTCAAGAAATAAATAAAATTTAATTAAAACTTTTTTGCATGGCACTTAATTAATCATCGCGATAATTTATAGGTATTCGTATTTTTAAGTACGTGGCACAGTTGTATTTAATAGATAATATTATATATAAAGTTATGTTTCTCAAATAAAACAAATCAAAGAAAAGGATTTTTTATAAAAAAAATTTAATGACAGATAAAACAAACAAAAAATACTTATAACAGGTAAGTTTGTAGAACAGTTTTTGTAAAAAGTTTTCAAAATAGCAGCAATTAGGTAAGTTAATCTCTATTATAAAATTAGTACAATTGTAATATTATACCTTCACTTGCGTAAACTTTCTCTGCCGTTTTATACTATATTTCTGACATTCTCTGCCAAAAAGTAGTGTCAGAGAAACGGCAAAGGATGTCAAAGAAATAGCAGAGTTTCTATGCTGTTTCTCTGCCGTTTCTTTGCCGTTGTTTTGCTGTTTCTCTGCAGTAGTGGCAGAGTAAATGTATACAAAAGGTGAAGAATTACAGAAAAGGCAGAGAAACTACAGAGAAACGACAAAAAATTTCCATATTACTAGTATATGGTAAAGTACAAAATAATAGAAAAGTACACTTTACCTTTTTAAAATTATACAATATGCATAAAGTATCAGATTTGATACACCATTAATTTAGGCCTTTTCATATTTTATATATATATATTTTGTTCCCATTTTGATACATGAATAAGTGGTTCTTTCCGCCATTGTAAACAACATTGGTTTTTACTGCAGATTACGTGTATTTATTATTTACCGGTAAACTAAATGTTTAGTAGAAACAAAGCATGTGAGTTGATTAATTTTTATACATTTTTATCGAATTTTACTTGGTATGAATTATATAATTTGCATTATTTTATGTGCAATATATTTTTCTTATAGAAAATGAGTCGCTGGTGGAAGGAATTTTAAAAGAAAAAGCCTCTTAATGATGAGGAATTGTTGGATTTAGCCTACATGCCCATAGAAAGTGAAGATGAAGTTGAATTTGATGACTCCGGAGATGAAAAGCTCAGAGATGAACACTCAGAAAACTCTTCAGAAGCTTCCGATAACGAAACAATAAAGAACATTCGTACAAAAATTGCTTCTAACTCAAAGAAGGTTTCAAGCAGCACCTATAGGAGTATACTCATCAAGGGAACAAGTTGTCAAAAATAGTTAAAAAGATATTTGGAAAAAAGGTAACATAAAATTCCCTGAAGATGATTTTTTTTATGATGCTTTGTTGCAAAAAATTGCAAAAGAATCAACTTTATACACTGCTCAGCACAACCCCAACAAGCCGGAGCATGTAAAAAAAGAATATATTCGAAAATATATAGGTATTTGCATCTTTACCTCGGTTTCTTATTGAACAAATATTAGAGACACTGGGCTAATGTAACGAAGCGATTTAGTAAAAGAAGTAATATCCTTAAATAATTTTAAAAAATTGCGTTCTAATTTACAGTACTTGCGCCACGTCTCACAGACCCAGCGCATGTTTTATTGTTTGCCAATTTGTGGGGGGGCGGGGTAGGGCGCTAATATTCCATGTAGCTTTCGACAATTGCATCTAGTACGGCTGTGCCCAGCGGTGTGTTGATACCTAGTATTGTTTTAATTTTAAATCAAGTTGAAGTCTACTGGACCCGGCGCGAGTACTGCCGTTGTTTATGCCATTAGGTGTATCAGGTAACATTATATGAGTTTTATGATAGAGAAATAGTATTAAATCCAAGGTTTGTTTAGGATGGATTATGAAAAGGAACAGGAGAGGCTAACACGCCTTTTTGAAGAAATAGATACTGATGATGAGCCTCCTATTGACGATGAATCAGATAATGAAGAAGACATAATTTTGGAAGAAATTGAAGTTGTGAATACCGATACAGAGCAAGACGCAGAGACGTCTGATGAGGAAAATCTTGAGCCCTCGCCAAGAAACACTCCAAATTTCCTTGGAAAGGACGGTAAGACTATTTGGAGGAAACATTATCCAACTAAAAACGTTAGAACAAGGAAGTGCAATATTGTTCTTCACCTTCCTGGAGTTAGACCTGCTGGTAAAGGAGCAAAGACAGCAATGGAATGTTGGAATCTATTTTTCTCTAATGAAATATTGGAAGAAATTCTTGAAAACACAAACAAAATGATCATTTCCCAAGCAGCACGCTATTCGAGATCAAGGGATGCAAAAATTACCGATATGTCTGAAATAAAAGCTCTTCTGGGCTTGCTTTACTTGGCTGGAATTTTATGAAGCAGTCGTTTGAACGTTGACGAGCTTTGGGACAAAAGTGGAACAGGAGTTGAGAGATTTTGGGTGACAATGTCTAAAGAGAGGTTCTTGTTTCTACTGAGATATTTACGTTTTGACAATAAGGAAACAAGAGAGCAACGGAAATCCATAGATAAGTTAGCCCCAATCAGGAAAATTTTCGATAAATTTATGGAAAACTGCCATAAGTATTACACCGTTAGTGAATATGTCAAAATATTCGCCTTAGTCGATGCCAAAATGTTTTATACTCAATCTTTAGGAGTTTATGTTGGGTCTCAACCTGAAGGTCCATATTCAGTACGAAATGACGCTGGAAGTGTCGTAGAAAGACTAATCGCTCCGATTTCAGGTACTGGACGTAATGTAACTTGTGATAACTGGTTTACGTCATTTCCTCTTATCACAAAACTTTTACGGGACCACAATTTAACTTTAGTCGGCACTGTAAGAAAAAACAAGAAGGAGCTACCTTTGGAATTTTTGAACACAAAATCACGTCCTGCTGCTTCAAGCATGTTTGGTTACCAGGAGGACACTACAATTGTTTCCTACGTACCCCGCAAAGGTAAAAATGTGATTCTTGCATCGAGCATGCACCATGACGATACGATTGACCAGACAACTGGTAACCGGCAAAAGCCTGAAATTATAACGTTTTACAACTCTACGAAAGGTGGTGTAGATACTGTAGACAAGCTTTGTGCCACATACAACGTCGCAAGAAATACCCGACGTTGGCCCATGGTCGTTTTTTTTTTCGATGATGAACGTGGTCGCTATAAACGCTCAAGTAATATTTGTTGCAAATACACCAAATAATGATGATATGACTTGCGTAAGAAGAAAGTTCCTTAGAGAAATCGCGTTAGGTCTTACTGAAGAACACCTGAAGCGCCGTGCTTCACTTCAAAATTTACCGAGAGCAGTTCGCGAAAGAATACAACAAGTGGCCGGCGTAACAGCAGCAGAAGCAGAGAAAACTCCAGAAGACCCAAGAAAACGAAAACGCTGCCACTTTTGTAGAAAAGATAGCAAAACTAAATATTTTTGCAAAACTTGTAAAAAATTCATTTGTCTATCCCATGCTCAAACTTTTTGTCCCGAATGCATAACACAGCCAGAAACTGATCAATAACTTGCGATATGAAGTTTTGATATAGAGAAAACATGTTTATTTTTTTAAAATATTTTTACCAAAATTTTCTGTTAAATTATATAAGAACTACTGTTTTATGTTGTTATTTTTATCTATCGCAGAATTAAAGTTTATTATAAAAGTATACTGATTTTAAAAACTACCCCAAATGAGTCCTTAAGCGTAAAAAAGGCATATAATCTAAATTTAGACATACTATGACGTTTTTTTTTAAAGTCCCACAGACCCAGCGCGAGTTGTTATGTGCAGATAGGAGGCGCGAGTACTGGAAGGTTAAGAAAATGAATCCCAAATTACTAATGGGCAGCAGGGATTTGCTCTCTTCTCTTTTGTAATCAAGTAATTTTTAATACAAATTAGGTACCTACTTATTTGTCATATTATTCTGATTTATCCTAAATGTTAGGGTAATTTTTACATTTTAATTCCTTCAGTATAAAATTATATATATATAAAAATTATATAAAATAAAAGTGATTTTAAGGAATATCCTTACAGGATAAAGTCTGTAGTATCTTCAAATATTGTGAGTACTAATATTATTATTATTATTATTTTTACATATTTATTAAATTATCATTCTTTAATTTATTAGTACATATTAAAAATTTATGTGTTTGCATATAGCCGAAACCAATTCATTAACTAAATTATTTCTATATACTTTTATCAATTAATTGTAGAAAAATGTCTGGTGAAGAAGCACATATTTTTGTTGAGTCAGTTCTACTAAATATAGGCAAATTATTGGGATGTATTCCAATAAAAAATAAGATTCAATCAATAATATATTCAACTATTATTTCTGGGGCTATTATAGCTTTGTTTGTTTATTCTGTCATAAATAAATTTTTTAGTCTTCACACAGAATATTTCGATTATGAAACCCTTATAGTTCTGGACTACTCCGGATTGGTATTCGAAAGCTTGCTGGTGATACTCTACACTTTTTTCACCAACAAACATAGAGAAATATGTGCCCAATTCACTCATTTGTGTTTTCAAGGTCCAGGCAGAAATTTAAAGTCATACTTTTGCCACGTTTTCGTACCATGTGCAATTTACATATTACTACAAGCATTTGTATTGTCGTTGATGAGCAGTGAGGGTTATAAAACCCATGGTATATTCTTTTTGGAGTTTACTTACGAGTTTTACTTTTATATCCAAATTGTTTCGGTTTTACGAAGTATTCATCAAGCATATAAAGACTTGGATGGTCTGATAAAGAAAAACTGCAACATCATGATCAAAGAGCTTACCAAGGAGCTGATCAAAATGGAGCGAATAATAAGGGTCAACGAAAATTATGTCGCAGACTTCAACACGATTTTTGGATGGCCACTGTTTTTGTTTCTATGTTCAAGTTTAACCAACGTATTGGGCTGTATAAATGTATCTCTCGTTCAATATTATTCAACGAAATTCGCCTTTGATTCAAGAAAGATTTCCATACAATGTGCTTTCGCATTAGTGTATTTGGTATGATGAATATATATTTAATTATTGTACTTTATTAATTTGATTTATTTTTTTAGACGTCGCTTTTAGTAATCGTTAATTTGTGCGACAAAATCGAGAAGGCAACCGATAAAGTAGCAAAATTGTGCTATAGCTACCAAGAAAATTTTGCCGCGTTTCCAAATGTTAGAGAAGAGCTGTTTATATTGGCCAGATGCGCGAAAAATCACAAACCCAGTTTCACAGCTGGGTTTTATACATTTAATAGACCCACTTTGGTGGGCTTATTGGCCGGGACAATCTCTTACACCATCATCATTGTGCAATTTAACATAAACAAAAATTAGGAAATAAAAGTAACACAGCAGTGAATTTTTCTTTTTTCAAATTATTTCAAAAAATTCGGTATTTTTAATGCACCCGGTATAATAAGAGTGTTCTCGAAATACTAATTTACAATACGTACACCTCTAGTAAAATCACGCCCAACTCCAATTTACGGTAAAAATACATGAGTAATAACGACCGCCCCTAAATTTACAAATAATGCACTCTTTCCACAATTTTAACATCTGTGCATTTATGACTATTGTGATTAATCTAAATCAGTTTAATGTTAACTAAATGTTAATTAAACTTAAATGTTAATTTTTGTGAGTTAATATTTACCTACCCCAGTTACAAAACAAGTAAAAAATGCACCTTTTGATAGCAAAATCAAATTGAAAATTGACCTAGCGAGCAGCTACAGCATGACAGTCCCAATCACATAATGTGTATTCGGCCAATCAGATTGCTTTCTTTAGTTATGCATTTTATATGGGTATGTATAAACGTATTAAGTACGTGTATAAACGGATTAACTACGTTTGTTTAAACGTGTTAAGTACGTTTGTTTAAACGCATTAAGTACGTTATTATTATCTATTACAGTAAATGCAGACATGCTAAAGAGTTTAAGGAATGTTCTGCCATTTAACATTCATTCATAATTCATTTTTTTAAGGAACAAAATTCTTAGATTTAATACCTACAGATTTTAACTAAGAAGACATATTGTCTACATGTGTAAACCAAGCAAAAATTTCACAAAATAAATATATAAAAAGTAATTCACCAAAGTGTTCGATGGAGCGTGTTGAATATAACATTGCATAAACGTTAAAAGAAAGAGCTGCCTGCACAGTTCATAAAATAATTACTTCAAACGTTATTTTCTCATTAAAACTCTTAATATTTGTGAAAAAAATTGTGGATTGAAATGTTATTTAAACATTTAAATATATGGTTGACTGAACACCTTCATACAACGTTATTGTAACATAAAAAGCATATTTAAATTAACGTTTAGATTAATTTGTGTAAATTTATACCAAAATCAAATCGTTGCTTTTTCTACGTAAAACGTTTTATTGACCATTCACACGTTTTAAATACGTTTAAAAAACGTTTATGTGTTTACTGGGTATTGTATACAAACAGTTCTATATATATCTATACCAGATACTAATAACAACATAATTTGAATGATTTTAAATAAAAACATAATTTTCCTAATTGATTTTACATATTTATTAAATTATTATTTTCCAATTTATTAGTAGGTACATGTTAATAATTTATATATTTATATATAGCCGAAAGTAATTAATTCGTTAAATGTACTTCTATTTATTAATTGTATTGCAATACACTACATGTATTGTAGAAAAATGTCTGGTAAACAGGCACATATTTTTGTTGAGTCAGTTCTACTAAATATAGGCAAATTATTGGGATGCATTCCAATGAAAAATTAGATTCAATCAATTATATATTCCATTATTATTTCTGGGGCTATTATAGCTTTGTTTGTTTATTCTGTCATACGTAAACTTTGTAGTATTCACACAGAATATTTTGGTTATGAAACCCTTATAGCTCTGGACTACTCCGGATTGGTATTCGCAAGCTTGCTGGTGTTACTCTACACTTTTTTCACCAACAAACATAGAAAAATATGTGCCCAATTCACTCATTTGTGTTTTCAAAGTGCAGGCAGAAATTTAAAGTCATACTTTTGCCACCTTTTCGTACCATGTGTGATTTACATATTACTACAAGCATTTACATTGTCAGTGATGGAGATAGAGTTTTTTAAAACTAGTGGCATTTTCCTTTTGGAGTTTCTTTATGAGTTTTATTTTTATATCCATATTGTTTCGGTTTTACGAAGTATTTATCAAGCATATAAAGACTTGGATGGTCTGATAAAGAAAAACTGCAACATCATGAGCAAAGAGCTTACCAAGGAGCTGATCAAAATGGAGCGAATAATAAGGGTCAACGAAAATTATGTCGCTGACTTCAACACGATTTTTGGATGGCCACTGTTTTTGTTTCTATGTTCAAGTTTAACCAACGTATTGGGCTGTATAAATGCATCTCTCGTTCAATATTATTCAATGAAATTCACCTTTGATTCAACAAAGATTTCCATACAATGTGTTTTCGCATTAGTGTATTTGGTATGATAATTATATATTAAACACTTGTAAGTACTTTATTAATTTGATTTATTTTTTTAGACATCGCTTTTAGTAATCGTTAATTTGTGCGACAACATCGAGAAGGCAACCGATAAAATAGCAAAATTGTGCTACAACTACCAAGAAAATTTTGCCTCGTTTCCAAATGTTAGAGAGGAGCTGTTTATATTGGCCAGATGCGCGAAAAATCACAAACCCAGTTTCACAGCTGGGTTTTATACATTTAATAGACCCACTTTGGTGGGCTTATTGGCCGGGACAATCTCTTACACCATCATCATTGTGCAGTTTAACATTAACAAAAATTAGGAATTAAAAGTAATACAGCATTGAATTTTTCTTTTTTCAAATTATTTCAAAAAACTTCCCTTAAGTCCTAATTTAAGTTAGCTAACTACAAATTTAAAACTGATAACAATAATAAAATTCCTGTATAAGGAATTTATTATATATAGACTATTGCTACAAACAGTTCTGGCTACTATAGTATATATATTCTATACCAGATACTAATAACAACATAATTAGAATGATTTTAAATAAAAATATAATTTTCCTAAGTGTTTTTACATATTTATTAAATTATTATTTTTCAATTTATTAGTACATATTAAAAATTTATATATTTATATATAGCCGAAAGTATTACATTCGTTAAATGCACTTATATTTATTAATTGTATTGCAATACAACACATGTATTGTAGAAAAATGTCTGGGAAACAGGCACATATTTTTGTTGAGTCAGTCCTACTAAATATAGGCAAATTATTGGGATGTATTCCAATGAAAAATAAGATTCAATCAATTATATATTCAATCATTATTTCTGGGGCTATTATAGCTTTGTTTGTTTATTCTGTCTTACGTAGACTTTGTAGTATTCACACAGAATATTTTGATTATGAAACCCTTATAGCTCTGGACTACTCCGGATTGGTATTCGCAAGCTTGATGGTGATACTCTACACTTTTTTCACCAACAAACATAGAGAAATATGTGCACAATTCAATCATTTGTGCTTTCAAAGTGCAGGCAGAAATTTAAAGTCATACTTTTGTCACCTTTTCGTACCATGTGCAATAGGGTGATTCAAAAAAAGCCTTTTTTTAAAAATGAACCCGCACTGGCCTAAATTATAAAGATAACATTAAAACTAAAAGATTGATACAAAAAAATCCAAATTCGATGAATATTTAGAGGTCGCTCAAATCGATTTTCGTATTTTTGCACATTCGAGCCGCGAAATTATTACTGCGCAAAATAGTAAATAACTCCGTTAGTTTTTAATCAATATTATTAAAAATTTAAGGGATACCTAGTTTATTAATACTCTCTGAGACAGTGAATTGAAGTTTACGGAAAAAAATTTTTTTTCATGAAAAAAAAATAATTTGTTAATAAAAACGTATCATCTTATAAAATAAGCAACAATTGGAATCGCACTATGATGGTACCGTAAAAAAACTAAGAAAATAACACTTAAATTATTTAGCATACATAAACCCTGCCGAAATGCATATTTTATTTGATTTATATAAAACATAACCTAAATATAATTAAGTTATTCAAATTTTTCCCATTTTCATACGATTTTATAAATAATTTATATCCGTTTTATTAATTATGACGTATTTTTATAAAATTTCTTTATTTTTGATACCATATTTAATTAATTACACTAAGTAGTTATTAATTTATGTCCTTTTTATAATTGAAATAAAAAAAATCCACTGCTCTACATCTCTAATGCAATGATTGTTTCTAATGTTAATTTTTTCAACCATTTTTCTTTTGTTTCAGTAGGTACTCTTTTATTAAAAAATGACAAACAAATTAGCTCTTCTCTTTGCAAATCTATATTTTTGTAAACATGAAGTTCATGAAGTGTTTTAAAATCATTTTTGGGCGCGCAAGTTGCATTTGGAGCTTGGAACCAGGCAAATATGTAAACCGAAATAATAAAAATACAAATTCTACGCAATGACTTATTTTCATTGTTAGTGAGTTTAAATTGATCCCGAAATAAGAAAATCTTTAGAGAGTATATAGCTTGGTTCATCCATCGGGCATGCTATCTATCTCCACCAAGGTATAAGATGTTTTTATTTAATTTCTCAACAAATTAGTTTTGGTACTTTGGTACGCTTTTGAATTAAGTAAATAATATATATATATATATATATATATATATATATTAGGGTGTTTCATTTAAAACCAAAATTTTTTTTTTCTTCCTGACACATGATAATTTTATTTTTTAGGTTGAAAAAAAAAATTCCCTGAAAATTTGAGCCCTTAATATTGATTCTAAGTACTTCCTTTTTAATTTTGTAGTTTTTCCATATAAAAAGCATGCATTTTTAATCATTTTTACTTTAAATTTCTATATTTTGGCCGGGTTTTGAATTATAATTTTTATCACCATAATTTCCTGCATAGTATTCACGGTTTTTGAAAGGCCCTGCAACAATTTTGTTTTTGATTTATTTACGTTGATTGTAGTAGCTCCAAAAGTCGTTTTTTTCACTTTTTCTCACATATTTTTGAGAAAATCGAGCGAATGACTGGTTTTACCGAAAAAGTTCAAATAAAAAAGTTGTAGAAAAATTAATTTTTGACAAAAAAGATTTTGCTTAAGCCATATCAATGAAGTGAATAATTTTGAAGTTAACGTTATTTTATTTTAGTTGTAAAAAGGACCTAATTTAATAACTACCTAGTTTAATTAATTAAATATGGTATGAAAATAAAGAAATATTATAAAAATAAGTTATAATTAATAAAACGGATATAATTTATTTATAAAATCGTTTGAAAATGGGAAAAATCTAAATTACTTAATTATTTTTAGGTTATATTTTATATAAATCAAATAAAATATTTCTTTCGGCAGGTTTTCTGTATATTAAATAATTTAAGTGTTATTTTCTTAGTTTTTTTATGGTACCATCATAGTGCAATTCCAATTGTTGCTTATTTTATAAGATGATACGTTTTTATTAACAATTTATTTTTTTTCATGAAAAAAAAAATTTTTTCCGTAAAGTTCAATACACTGTCTCAGAGGGTATTAAAAAACTAGGTAACCCTTAAATTTTTAATAATATCGATTAAAAACTAACGGAGTTATTTACTATTTTGTGGAGTAATAATTTCGCGGCTCGAATGTGTAAAAATAAGAAAATCGATTTGAGCGACCTCTAAATATTCATCGAATTTGGATTTTTTGGTATAAATATTTTAGTTTTAATGTAATCTTTATAATTTAGGCCAGTGCGGGTTCATTTTTTAAAAAAGGCTTTTTTTGAATCACCCTAATGTGCAATTTACATATCACTACAAACATTTACATTGTCAATAATGGAGATAGAGTTTTTTAAAACTAATGCCATATTCCTTTTGGAGTTTTTTTATGAGTTTTACTTTTATATCCAAATTGTTTCGGTTTTACGAAGTATTCATCAAGCATATGAAGACTTGGATGGTCTGATAAAGAAAAACTGCAACATCATGAGCAATGAGCTTACCAAGGAGCTGATCAAAATGGAGCGAATAATAAGGGTCAACGAAAATTATGTCGCAGACTTCAACACGATTTTTGGATGGTCACTGTTTTTGTTTCTATGTTCAAGTTTAACCAACGTATTGGGCTGTATAAATGCATCCCTCGTTCAATATTATTCAACGAAATTCACCTTTAATTCAACAAAGATTTCCATACAATGTGTTTTCGCAGTAGTTTATTTGGTATGATAATTATTTATTAATTACTTATTAGTACTTTATTAATTTGAATTATTTTTTTAGACTTCGCTTTTAGTAATCGCCAATTTGTGCGACAAAATCGAGAAGGCAACCGATAAAATAGCAAAATTGTGCTACAGCTACCAAGAAAGTTTTGCCGCGTTTCCAAATGTTAGAGAGGAGCTGTTTATATTGGCCAGATGCGCGAAAAATCAGAAACCCAGTTTCACAGCTGGGTTTTATACATTTAATAGACCCACTTTGGTGGGCTTATTGGCCGGGACAATCTCTTACACCATCATCATTGTGCAGTTTAACATTAACAAAAATTAGGAATTAAATGTAATACAACATTGAGTTATTCTTTTTTCAAATTATTTCAAAAAACTTCCCTTAAGTCCTAATTTAGGTTACCGAACTACAAATGTAAAACTGATAACAATAATAAAATATCTATAAGGAATTTATATATACAGTCCATTCAGAGTAAAATCTATATCTATATATATATGGGGCGTGGCCTCGCCTCCCTCCAAGGTGCGTCACAGTAGCTTGTGTGGTAAACGACATGACGAAAGGTCGAGCAGGTAAGGACTTAAAAAATTAAATGATAATAATGCAAAAAATCTCATTAGCGATGCAGGCTATTTGCTTAGCTACTTTGTCGCGCGTTGGAGGGAGGCGAGGCCACGCCCCATATACAGGGTGTCCCAAAAGTCAACGATATCCTTTGGAGGAATGATGGACCAACTCATGACCAACCAGAAAATCAAAACATGACCTTAGTAAAAAATCGTTAGTTTTTGAGATATAGTCATTTTTATGAATTTTGTAAAACTTGACACCTTATATCAGTTTTTCGAGTGCCACAGCTACAAAATTCTATATTCTTAGATTATATTTTATGTTGTGCAATCCTAAAAATGCCTGCTATTGATTACAGTTCAAAATAAAACTAATAGCAGTTTTTTACCTTTTTAAAACAAACATTTTTGCCCGATTTTATTATTATTATTAAGTTTTTTTATAAGCTAACTTCGACCGTTCAGACTGTAAAAAAATATGTCACGCAAACTTGGCAAGTATTTTAAAAATTGCTAATTTAGTGTAATATGCCATGTTATACTTTAAAGAAAAAGATATTGTTGTTTTACTGCAATTTCAATATTTAGGAATTTAAACAAAAACACTTCTTTAATGAAAATAACAGATATTTAATTAAAAACAAACGAATCACAAATAAAAATTAAAGAATGTGTTCAAAATGCCTGCCACCAAGTCGAATGCAAGCGCGGCATCTTTCTAAAAATGATCGTTTTATCTGTCTTGCACTTTCTGCGTCTTTTATTTGCTGTGCGGCTTCATTAATTTGGTCTCTCAATTAATGTAAGTATGCAACCTCAGTAAAAAAAATCGAAAGGATTTAAATCCGGAGACCGGGGAGGCCACAAAATGGGACCAAGACGGCCGATCCATCTCTTTGGATAAACCTGATCCAAATAATTTCTTACTTCCCGTGCGTAATGAGCTGGAAACCATCATGTTGAAGCCACATTGCTCTGCGTGTGGCGACAGGCACATCATCCAAGAAAATATTGTAATTGCAATACCAAATTTATTTTTATTTACAACCACAATATTGTTTGTTCTTTCTTAACTTAATTGTAAGATGTCACCTTTAAACAAAAAATATTGTAATTTCAACACAAAATTTAATTTTAATAACAATTACAATATTTTTTGTTCTTTATTATCAAAACTTCTTTATCCACTTGAACCTTTAATTGTGTGTTTGTGTTCCGTGTTTGACGTTTGACTACTCATTATGCCGTACCAGTATACTGCTCAGGAATATGTAAACATGCATTACATTTATGGTGAATGCAGAGGTAATGGTGTAGCTTCAGCCAACCTGTATCGGGAAAGATACCCGAATGCTTTGAGATATCCTGATTATCGCGTCTTTATAAATGTTCACCAAGCATACGCTGAAGGCAGAATGCCTTACAATCGTGCTAGAATGGGAAGACCATGTATGGATTATGATGAAGAGGTTTTGCAAGAAATTGAAAATCACTCAACAACTTCGGCGCGAGCAATTGAAAGGCGTACAAGAATACCGAAATTCACTGCAAACAGAATTACACGACGGTATCAGTATCACCCATATCACGTACAGCGTGTGCAAATGTTGCTTCCTCGTGACTACGCAAGACGTGTCCAATTTTGCCGCAGAATGTTGCAGAAACATAGGGAAGACCCAGAGTTCCTGGATAGAATTTTATGGACTGATGAATGCACATTCCATAAAAATGGTTTTATGAACATGCATAATCTTTATTATTATTTATGGACCGGCATCTTGAACGGCCAACTAATCGGTCCCTTTGAATTACCTGAAAATTTAAATGGGGAAAATTATCAAGAGTTTTTGGAAAACAAACTGACAAATCTTTTGGATGATGTGCCTGTCGCCACACGCAGGGCAATGTGGCTTCAACATGATGGTTGTCCAGCTCATTACGCACGGGAAGTAAGAAATTATTTGGATCAGGTTTATCCAGAGAGATGGATCGGCCGTCTTGGTCCCATTTTGTGGCCTCCCCGGTCTCCGGATTTAAATCCTTTCGATTTTTTTTTACTGGGGTTGCATAAAGTAAAAAGTCTATAGAATAGTAATTCATAACGTACATTAATTGAGAGACCAAATTAATGAAGCCGCACAACAAATAAAAGACGCAGAAAGTGCAAGACAGATAAAACGATCCTTTTTAAAAAGATGCCGCGCTTGCATTCGACTTGGTGGCAGGCATTTTGAATACATTCTTTAATTTTTATTTGTGATTCGTTTGTTTTTAATTAAATATTTATTATTTTCATTAAAGAAGTGTTTTTGTATAAATTCCTAAATATTGAAATAATTTAACAATAAACTCGTTTTGCAGTAAAACAGTAATATCTTTTTCTTTAAAGTATAACATGGCATATTACACTAAATTAGCAATTTTTAAAATACTTGCCAAGTTTGCGTGACATATTTTTTTACAGTCTGAACGGTCGAAGTTAGCTTATAAAAAAACTTAATAATAATAATAAAATCGGGCAAAAATGTTTGTTTTAAAAAGGTAAAAAACTGCTATTAGTTTTATTTTGAACTGTAATCAATAGCAGGCATTTTTAGGATTGCACAACATAAAATATAATCTAAGAATATGGAATTTTGTAGCTGTGGCACTCGAAAAACTGATATAAGGTGTCAAGTTTTACAAAATTCATAAAAATGACTATATCTCAAAAACTAACGATTTTTTACTAAGGTCATGTTTTGATTTTCTGGTTGGTCATGAGTTGGTCCCTCATTCCTCCAAAGGATATCGTTGACTTTTGGGACACCCTGTATATAGATATATTCGGTTTTACTCTGAACGGGCTGTATATATATATATATATATTCTATACCAGATACTAATAACAACATAATTCTAATGATTTTAATGGTAGATAAATGAAAACTCAAATCCAGTCGATAACGAAGTTTTTTGCCAAATGACCAAACTTTTAGTAGGTCAAACGCCCAAAAAGGCATGTTGAGGGCATTACAGATTTTCAGAAGGGGCTGTTGGGGCTCCAGAAATACCGAATCAAGGCCGTAGATACCATAAAATCTTTAAACCATTACTCCAAATGAACTGGAACATCTAAAAGAGGAAAAAAGAAAAGACATCAAAACAAATTTTTGAAGAAAATCCGTCTTCATCAAGATCAAGGACATCACCAAATTATTCTCTCCATTTGGATGGTTTGTTGGATTTGTGTTAACCAATATGCTTTTTTTAATATACATATTGGTATTAAAATCAATATTTAGTATCTAAAAATAACCGAACTCATTCATTAACTTAACTGTAATTATACAGGGTGTTTCATAATATATGCGCAGGACTTCAGGATGTGATAGCTCATCCAAAAAGATGAAAAAAGTCGCTATTAAGTTACGCTCTAAAATGCACAATTTTAGAATTTCGAATATCTCCGGAACCATTTATCGTACAAAAAACTGCTTTTGTAAGCATTTTCTACTCAAAATAAGCTATGTTTTGTGCTAGAAAAAAATTTTTTTTTCTCATAATTGATGGAGATTTTGAAGGGGTAGCGGGTGTTTTTCTCCTCAACTTCTACGCCCCTGAAAAAAGTACGGTTTTGAGAGGCCCATTCGAACCGCCTATGTTTTCTACACAAAAAAGGTACTCCTGGTCATAAGCTCTAAAGTTGACCGTTTAAAAACATGGTCAATTTAAAAAAAAATATATTTTTTTTTTTTACTAATTAAACAAAATTTATTTTAACGTTAGGACAAGTAACAAAACCAAACCATAATTGCAAAATAAAAAATGATTTAAAAGTTGACTTTGCTTAATTCTCCAAACCGTAAAGGTAACGCATTTCGCACATTTCAGCATTTGAGTAAAAAATCATTTTTTATTTTTTTTTTAATTTTGCAATTATCGTTTGGGTTTGTTACTTTTTCTAACGTTAAAATAAATTTTGTTTAATTAGTAATAAAAAATTTTTTTCAAAAAATTGACCATGTTTTTAAACATAAAAGTTGATTTTTCTCGAAAACGGTCAACTTTAGAGCTTATGACCAAGAGTACCTTTTTTCTGTAGAAAACATTGGCGGTTCGAATGGGCCTCTTAAAACCGTACTTTTTTCAGGGGCGTTGAAGTTGAGGAGAAAAACACTCGCTACCCCTTCAAAATCTCCACCAATTATGAGTAAAAAAAAATTTTTTCTGGCACAAAACATACCTTATTATGAGTAGAAAATGCTTACAAAAGCTGTTTTTTGTACTATAAACGGTTCCAGAGATAATCTAAAAAAACGATTTTTTTTCTAAAATTTCAACACCCTGTATCTCGAAAATTGTGCATTTTAGAGGGTAAGTTAATAGCGACTTTTTTCATTTTTTGGATGAGCTATCACATCCTGAAGTCCTGCGCATATATTATGAAACACCCTGTATATCGTTTCTCTACATATATTTGTTTGTCAAATGTTTTTGTATCTATCACATTATCCCAGGAAGTGAAAGGAGGTTTCTTCCTCTTTTCCTCATTAGGCCTGAAAGATGGGTCTGGTTAGTAAATAACATTGGTAAAAATTTTTTTTATTATTTTTCCTTTATACCTACATAGTTATCTCAAGATAAGGTCTACCACGACAACATTTGCAAACGTGATGGGTTCTGAAAAATTTTAATCTTGAGCTCCCTCTGAGAGAAGGCTGCGTATTCATTGAAGATTATTGAATACTATTCAATAATATCTGCTTC